TCGTGTGTCTCTCTCTCTCTCTCTCTCTCTCTCTCTCTCTCTCTCTCTCTCTCTCTCTGCTGGTGAAATTAACTTATTTTTCGCGATTTTTGGATGGCGAAGAGGAAATTCATCACCGTCGATCGGAGAAGTGGGAATCGTTGAAAAAAAAATTTTTGAATTGTTGAAAGTTTCGAGGAAACGTTTAATTAAAATTTTCTGGGTTTAATTGGTCGTGTTTAACGGTGCGGAATTGATAGATTGGTTTCATTGGCTCGAAATCATTATTGGCAAGGAAAGTTGGATGTTAATTTAATTTCATTGTTAGAAATTAGAAATTTAATCTGCTTTTGCGGGAATTAAGAGGAACGTAATAAATATTTGTTAATTTACGTTGGAAAAAATTTTAACCAGAGCGATTTTTCAGACACGATAAATATCGAAATTCGTGGATGCTTTCAAATATTTATATCCAGGTTATACAAGTTTTATATTCGTGATGAAAACGTTATTCTATTCGGATAGCGAAGGGTTTGGTGCGCAGAATTAGTTCGAACGGAAGTAACTACGTATTTGTCGCAACGCAAAATCGCCCATTTATTCATACACGTTAAACAGATTTACAGGTTAAATCAACTTGAGAATTCAGATCGAACAAGAAAATAATAAAGCTATGAACGAATTTTATTTCGAAAAAAAAAAAAAATAAATAAAAACCAATGTAAAATAATTTGAATGTTTAATTAAAGTTAAAACAAAAATAGAATTAAAATCGTTTTGCATCAGTCAAAATCTAGTCACCTCGATGATCGAAATGATCAAATAAATTATACAATTATTGAATTAATAAATAATTGGAATTTGGAAACATTGGCTTCGTTACATTTTTTTTATTTTTCCTCGCCATAATATATAAGGTAGAAAAATCTATATATACCACGACGTAAAAAAAGATTCTTTCATCTCGTTTTACCGGGTGTTTTCCAGCTGAACGGCTACAAGGTCACCGATGTGAACCGCATACGAAAAGTCGGCGTCGCCTGCAGAAGCCTTCAGGAGTTGAAGCGTAAAGCTTGCGCGAAACTGAACGTGAGTATAGCGAAATGATTAACGCTTCCAGCGTTTATTCAATCGATCGAGATAATATTGGGTGTTAAAAAAAAAAAAAAAAAAAAAGAATCCAAGACAATTTTTTTTTTTGAAACGAATCTTTTGCCACTGCGAAAAATCTTTCATTGTTCGACGAAAATTCGAGTATTTGAAGTGTAAGAGGAATACGTTGAGGTTGAGGATTGTATCGATCATTCCGTGATTCGTATATCGAACGAGAATGGGACAATTTTGCATGCAGAGACCTTGAACTTAATTAAAAAATCGGCCAATTTTCGATTGAAACGTCGACGAAAGATCCTTCGAAATGTTGGGATCCTTTCTTCTTTGACACCCGGTAGACATGCTTTCGATCAAAGAGAAGGAGCGGGACGGATAAACAGACGTGACATCGATTAAAAAGGGAGAGACAAAGAGGAGCGCGGTTCCAAGTGGTTCGTCGCGTTGCATGGAAACCGTGATCTCCCACGCCACTTTTACATGTCATGATAAAAGTTGTTGGCTGAAATTGGGTCATAAAAGCCTCGCAGCTGATCCACCTACCTCGCTCCTGGAAAATTGTAACGCCCACACCAACGTTCCATTTTCCAGTATATTTCGTTACAGATGTATATCTGAAGCAGGCCAAGCAGCGGCAAGTGATAAATACATATATTTCTCGAGCCATTTTGCTCGAGGAAATTCGTTGCACGGATTTGCAGCGATGATTTATCGCGTTTCCAACGAAGAATTCGTTTTTTCCAAGACTCGATATTATTTTGTGCACAGGAAGGGAATATCGAGTTGATTTTGCCATTGCATTTGCAGATGGATAGCTTTGGTTCCACAGTGTAAAAGTTGATAGAAATAAGTGATAATAAATTAATAAGACTCGAAGTGAAATTTTTGTTCTGACATTTAGAATTTTAAACGCTTGATTTTCCGTATCCATTTGCAAGTTAGTTAATATCAAGATTAAATCTTCTAGTTAGAAATTCGACGAAACTACATATACGAGCAAAATTCTTTTCGTGGTGTTTGAATATATTCGTTTCTGGCTTCCTTTTCAATTTTACAAGTGAAATTCACCGATTGGATCTCGCTGAATTACACTGATAACAGCGATTATTCCACGCGTGAAAGGGTAAATACAAAATGGATTTTTCTTCATTTTGTAAAAAAGGATCGATGGCGAAACGAATCTTGAAAATAAGGAATTAAACGATAAAATTTTATTCGCATTCGATCGAGAATCGGCCGAATTTCGTTTGCTGTGCTCGAAAACGAAAAAAAATGTCTTTCTATTCCTGAAAACTTGCCAATTTCTTCTTCTTCCTTTTCTTTTTTTTTCCCCCCTGGAAATTAGCCAATCTCGCTCGTACTGGAAAAACGTTCAAATTTGTTTTGTCGAAAACAAAGTTTCAACAATTTCAACCGATTACGTTACCATTATTCAACTTATCCTATACAATCGTTCTCCTCCTTCTTACTAAAAAAAAAAAAAAAAAAATTCCAAGACGAGCAATTAATCATTGGATGGTTTAAAGTTTACATGGCACGTGTCGATTCCAACGTTAATCCCCTCGACCTTGGCGCGACCGAATCGCATTCGCCTGCAGCGTGTAGCTGTATCGAACCATCCGGGCCACGGGCAAGGAGCAGCCCCAATGTCAAGGTCGCTGCTCGATCGGTAACCGAGAGACCCGGCCCAGTTCTTTTTTACCGGGCGAGACCCTCTTTTCGTCCGTTTCCCATTCCTCTCTTCCCCTCCCCCTCCTCGCTCTCCCTCTCTTTTTTCTTCTCTGCTCGCCGCGATAAGATTTTGGACGATTCTTCGTTCTTGCGTAACTGGCGCAAGGTTGCGATGGTCGATCGTGATTACGTACGTAGCGTTTGCTCTACTTTATCGATGGAGTTTTGAACACGGAATTTGATACTTTTTTCTTTTTTACTTTTGAAAAGACGATGAACTGCACTTGCAGCATATAATCCCTCGTGTTTCCAGGTGACAAACGACCCAGCCGAGATCAACATCTACCTCCTCGACGGTTCGTTGATCGACGAGGAGGAATATTTTTCCACGTTGAAACCCCAGACGACGCTGATCCTGCAAAAACCTGGCGAGAAAGTGTTGTCAGGTTGGCGATTTGCTTTCGAATCAATTTTAAAAAAAAAAAAAAAAAAAAAGGAAAAAGATTTTCGAATTTGATTCTCGAATTCTTTTCAATTCTTTCTTCTCTTTACTTCTTCAATGGCTTCAAATCGGATGTAACAGGAAAGACACCTTTTTACGGTTCTAGATGCGGATCTCCTGTACGACACGTTGAGGCGTGTCAATATCGATTTTCTGATCGCCGGCGAGAAAGCGTCCGAATTCCTCGCCGAGAACCTTAAGGCAAAGGTTGCAGTCCTGAACACAGCTTTGAACAAAGACGACTCGAAAACGGCGTTCAGCAGCAGGGACGAGCACCCAGACTGGTTCCAGGGACTGGAGACCAACTGCGCGACTAAGGTGAGTCCTCTTCGTTTCCTTTCTTCAACGAATAATGGGGATGAGAAAGGGGGCACATTTCACTCACATTTGATCGAGAAATTTGCTCGTGAAATTAATCTTGAACATCGAGTGGAATATAATTTTTTTTAAATCGATTTGAATGAAATATTTAGAAATCAATTAACGCGCTACTACGCGTTTTTACGAATTACATTTCAAATTAAATAACGCGAAAATGAAACGAGAGGAAGAAAAAAAAATCGATAGGAATAATTAACGCCCTTCGTGGAAACTTTCCCCATTTATAACTGGGTGCTCGAAGGGGTAGGTTATAAATTTCTGGAACGTGCAGCAATAAAGTCTGGGTCTGGGTCGGCTTGCTCAAGTTAATGCAACAGAATCAAAGCCATCCTTCGACGTTCGATATCGCTCGAGTTAATTAACGTTACATTCCGCCTCCATTCCGGTAAATTGTGTCGTTTATCGGGCTCTCCCCCCTTAAAATCTTAAAGTCGATTAGCCTGACCTTTTCATCTTCCTCAAGTAATGATCGATTATTGAATTATCATTACTTCGTGCACGAAGGTTGGATAGATATTGGATTGAAAAAAATATTATTTCAGGCGCAAAAATAGAAATTCCAACGTTTATCGATCGATCAAATATATCTCGAAAATAAATATAATAAATTTATGGCGGCCCATAAGTCTCTGACGTAGCAACTCCTCCAATCCAATCTTCGATCTGTATATCTACTCTGTCGCAGATCGAATATCTCTGTGGTACGGGTTTCACATAGATAGAACACAAGGGTCCTCCTCTTCTTCTCTCCTCTCCTCAACAACGACCTTCGCCTTTCCCCCCGCGTTTCTTCTTCCACCACCACCCATCATCGATTGACTTTGCCACGACCTTGCATGCATTATCCAAGATCCTATTATTTATAGCCCCCTCCACTGTTCACTTTAACAACAACGTATTTAATTCGATATTAAATCAAATTAATTTGTAGCATCCTTGTATCATTGAATATTCAACTCTGTTATAAATCGTTACAGTCATTCTTTAAAAGAAGTCGGTTCCATGGCGACACAACAATTGGACAATTCGAGTAACGAAAACGATATCCAATATCATCCGCCGCTTTGATTACGGGCCAATTATATCCGCGATACCGTGAACACACTGACCCATTTCGACTCGCCATCATTCAATGTAACGGTTTGAAGGATTTTAAATATTTTAAAATTAAAAGCGATCCTTGTTTATCGATCGATGTTAATTAACAATTAACATTTAAAGCGTTGTAACGTAATTACAATTCCCAACAGGAGGCGTATTTGCACCGTAGATGTCAGGACAGGATACGCGGCTACCTGTACAAAACGATCGATCAGATCAAATCGTCCGACGTGTTCTCGAAAGATCCACGTGCCAGGAAGCAGCTTCTGTACGCGATAGCGTTCTTCAAGATGCAACTGAAGGAGGACCATTATTTCGGCTACTACTTCGACAGGAGTCGGGCGAAGATGGGATCGTTGGAGAACAGGGATGAGCGCGACTCGTCGTTGAGCTGTTACGATCATTGCCCGTGCGGGCTGAAGTGGTTGGACGACAGCACGTATTTCCGTTTGTTCGGCCAGCCTTGCGACGACGTTGACGCAGCGAAGAGGAGAAACGAGAGGAACACTGGTGGCGCGAAGAGCGAGGAGGAGGAGGCGGAGGAGACATGCCCGTATAAGATCAGGAGGACGGGGGAGGACACGTGTGTAGCTTTGTGCGACCAGGCGGGCGAGTTTAAGTGTTATGGCGTGTGGAACGAGGAGAAGTGCCTTTACGGGGACAGGCACAAGATCAATCCTTATAGGTCGAGGGAGGAGCTTATTTTGTTCTCTACATGGAATTTTGATCATAAGTAATTAACAGAGTTACAGCCTGTAATTGATATTATTATTACGAAAGTGCAAACGGTTAATTGTCGCAGAATTATCAATTATTTGATTCCTTTGACGTTACGAAGTTATCATAGATTTATTTTGAATCTCTAAAACGTAACTTTATCCTTCGAAACATTTCTCGAGAAATGAAAAAGCGACACATTTTTATCGACAGAGGGTAAAATACAAGTTTCACGATAAAGATAGGATTGTAGTTGCTTAGTGTTCTTAGACTCGGTTATAAATGTTGAATGATATAGTGACGCGATTACAAGAAATATCGATTGAAACGTAAAATATTTATTTCTGCATTTATCCGTATAATAATATTCATATGCATATGATTTTTTAGGATCGAGAGGTCCAGGACATTAATCCCGCTGCTTCTGAAACTGGCGACACAAGGTACAGCCAACGAGATGGATCTCTTCGAAATCTACGACAATCTATTTACGGTGAAGAACCTGAGGCTGGTTCACATCGTGTGCCATGATAAAGGCTCGCACAAATAATTAGTAATTATGGAAGAGTTAATGTATAATTGATTAATTACGATATTCCAATGAGGGAAATCACTATCATAAAACTACGTAATAATAATACGTGGAACAACCTCTGAACGTAAATGTAACTCTTCGTGTGAAATACGTATATTTACTTATATAAAACTGCTGTTGATAGTTGAAAAAATTAAAAAAATTTATCACGTATATATTATAGTGATTCCGTTGCGCCACATACGTGACAAGCAATATACCGATCGAAGAAACTTTCTTCTTTCTATGATAGATTAAGTCGAAGTTTCCTACATTGCAAAACATTTTCTATTATCCACCGTGGAACCGTGCACGATAGAATCAGTCCGATTAAAAGAAAGAAAAAGTTTTAAAAATCGCATTTGAGATCACGGATGTTCACAGTATTGTGAATTGAAAACCTGTACTTGAAATACTTGTCCATTTCTTCACTTTACAAAGGAGAAATATAACTTGTCTTAGCCGATAAAATAGAAACACGTAATTATATGCACGGTTGATAATACAGACAGACGAGTCCTCAAGAGATAAGTTAAAATACTATACTATCGACGCGAGAACTTTTTTAACACGTTTTTAATACATCTTTATGCATCTTAACGACTGTCACAACTTTCTATCGAATAAGTGTAATAACGAAATGACGTTTTTCCTTCTTCAGCACAAATCTGAGCTTCCTTTTCGGGAAGATTTACGATTTATTGTATACAGGGTTGGGCGCAACGGAATAATCGAGATTAAAAACCAATATTTTCCAATCTATGGATCACAATCCCTAATGAGATCGAATTTTTATTTACGATTATTTAATGTACAACAAATTACTTATTTCGACATATCTATATGAAAAGATTCATCTAGATCATATATAAGTATTAAATATCGCATATCTGCTATGGATTAATATTTCATTAGTTAATTTTCACTTGTTAATATTCGTCGTTAAAAAAAATTATTTTATTCTAAAATAAATGCATCCTTTTTTATACAATTATAAAGAAGAAAAGGGGGTTGCGATTTCAAAGAAATATTGGAAAATACTGATCTAAAGGACTGTTCATTATTTTATTGAAATTGCAAGAAAGATATGGTGGTCACAGGATGACCCAACCTTTTAGTGTTTAGAGTTATTTATCTTTAAAGAATATTATTACTTGATCGAATATCTTTCGAATATTTTTGATTCGACTGGTTGACCGAAGACAAAACCAAAGTTCTGATATATATATATACATATAAATATACTATATAAATATATACATGTACGTATTCGTTATTGACTTTAGAGAATATACATATGTTTATATGTATTATGGACGCGTGTACAGGATGACGGAATAAATATTCGATAAAACATTGAACAATAAAATTGATGCAATAAACGCAAATAGCTTTATTTGCAATAAACAGATTTGTTTGAGAAAATAAGTAAACGTTAAAATGTATGATATAATATAATTATTATATAGATTTACTTGTTATTTGCAGAATTTATTAAGGAAAAGATAAACTACTGTGTGTCAAGAAAAAGAGATTAAAGTGGAAAATGGAAAAAGTAAAATTTTATTATGGATATATTAATATATGTATTTATATCGTCAGTTATTTTTTTTTTTTTTTTTTTTTTTCTTAGTAACCTAAAATCCGACAATATAATATTTGATGGTTCATCCTGCGCACGTGTACATGTAATATATGTATACATATACAGGATATTCGGCTGCAGGTATCCAAAAATTGAAAAAATCATTCTACAAGTGAAAACAATACAAAGATAATACAAAAATAACAAAATTGAAAACGAGACATTGATTTTTCGTGTGAAAAAAAATTGAAATTTTTATCATCAAAAATTCACCATTAAAGTCACTTTTCATTTCATTCCGATATCTCAATTGGTTGCCAAGAATATAAGAAATCAAAGTATACTGAATACATAATAAAAATTACGAATGATCTAGTGACATCTATATTTTTTTCTATGTATAAACGCGTCCGTCTAGAAATTGTCTCGTATTTAGTGAAGAGATGCGAGCGAGAGTTCTAAATAAGCGAAAAAGACAGAAACGATTAAAAAATTACTTTGTCTTTACACGATGATATCTCGAATACCGAAAATCATATCGGGATAAGTAAAAATGCTTTTTAAAAAGTAAGATTTCGCGTCTCTAACGATCTTTCATCTATTTATAGAAAATCGTTATCTTCGAAGTTATAGCGGTTTAAAATTCTCCTAGTTTTAATAGAGTTTCTAAGATATATTGGGATATCTCTGTGCGGAGAATCAAGCGAGAGTTTCGAGTGTACGATAAGGATAGAGATAGTAAATGATCAAAAAATACGTTTTCCTTTACACGATGATATCTCGGCAACCAAAAATTGTATCGGGATAAATGAAATTGCGTTTTGAAGGGCAAGATTCTGTGCTTTTAACAGCCTTTAATTGACTTGGCGAAATTCACTATCTTCAGAGTTATAGCGTTTCAAAGTTTTCTTAATTTTAATAAGAAATTTGTTACTTCAATTACCGTGTATTCTTTCATGTAAGTATTACAAAACAAGGTAGAAAATACAATTTTTTTTTTTTTTACTTATCTTTTTTCTTACTAATCTTCTCGATCTTTATTTTAGCTTGAAGAATCATCCTTTCAATTTTTAAACGCCTTTAGCTGAACATCCAGTATATAAAAATCTATATATATATATATATATACAACTATATACACAAAGGAAATTATTAAAATGTTTTAGAGACTTGTGCGATATATCTGAAGCTGTGCTTCTTCCTGTGCATGGAGAAAATCTACACGGAAGGACTCGATTCGAATATTTATGTCCTTTTTGACAAATTCTTCTTTTGATATGATTTCGATTGGTCCGTGTTCGTTTCGTCGCGACTCGTCTCGCTCGAGATTTGACGCCACGAGACGAATCATCTGACACACTTTTTATAAAATGATGACGAAGACGACAAATAATGAGAGAGAGAGAGAAAGAGAGAGAGAGTTCAACGTTCAACAATGTGTCTTTATTCTTTGCTTAAGACGTTTATGTACTTAATTTGATCTCGACGAGTCATTGATGAGTCTTTCTTGCGTTTGAAGCAGAGTGCATCGAGGATCATTGTGCTTTGAATCTGTACGCAAAATGCACGTCGAAAGTGCGAATCAATTTAAAATTAGATATTCGATTATTTCTTTTTGAATATTATCATTATTTAAAATTTCAGAAACTTTAGATTTAGGATATATTGCAATTATATATATTCAAGTTTCAGAGTTTTTAACAGAGTATTTTACTTTACTACAGGTTGATACTATGCTTCTAAGAATGCTTAGGATGACATATGTATTGTTTATCATTGTGTTTTAACATATTTATTTTTTCCATAGATATCTACATTTTGTCAACCTTACGAATTTCTTAATATGAATGATATAGCATAGAGAAATTTATAGTTTCAATAATTGGCGTGCCAAAAATTAGAAATCTATTCGACTTATTGGCTCATTTATGAGAGCGAAGATTATCCTCGATCGATCAAGAAATGATTTTTCGAAAATTATATCGTCTGTCAATACATGCTCTTTGCGTAATTCCTATTTTATCATCAGAGGAATTCGAAACCAGCAATGTATTATCGGTAAAGCGTGGTAACTGAACTTGTCATTTATCGATTTCCTGATTTTTCGTTAAAGTTTCTTTGATCGAGTACAGTTCTTCATTGAGAATTAGTCAAATTTAATAATCCATTTGTATTCTCAACTATCTTGAATTTAAACATTGTTATCTGTTGTATAAATTATTATGGAATATTATGCGATCAGATAACACGGTTAAAAGAGTGAGTTCTATCGTACAGAAAGACAAGAACGAAAAAGAGAGAGAAACGAATTTTTTTTTTTGTGAAAAAGATCGTGTCCAGGATAAGTAGACATTGTTATATCACGATTGAAGCTACTTGCGACACACAATGGAGAGAAACTGCACGAAAGTGCGATACTTCCTCGTAGGCAACATATGTAAGCATAGTTATTTTTCAATGTAAAAGCGACTGTGTAGCTCTACTTTAGGCAAATGTATATTTTAGGTACGAGAGAACGAGAAGAAAAAGAGAGAGAAGAAAGAGAAGAGATAAACAGAAAATAAAAGTTGTTCGTTTCTTTTCTTCCCATTTCTAATTTAATCCTTCTCGCGCGTGTTGTAAAAAATGTCCGCAAGAATTAATTGCATTCGATTAATTACCGCGTTGAAACGAGATCATCGAACTCGTTCGTAAGTTTCGAGCATCAACTTTTACGACGTCGAAGATTTCGATGGAGTAAAATTAGAATTTGAACTCGTGACTCCTCGTCGTGAGATTCGATCGATCGAGCGATTGGCCGAAAATATTTAAACACGACAGTATTTTTCGAATTCAAAATTCTTTTCGATAATTATTTTTGAATCTATCGATTAATAACGATATGAATTATTAATTTTAATATAGTTTTTTTTAATACTTTTACTCCATTAAATTACGATAGCGGCCATTTTAACAGATAATTTTTAAAATAACAAGTTAGTTGAAGAATCAGTACGATAATTAATGAAATACTACTATATATATAGAAGAAAATAAGGCAGTTGATTCGATTACACAAAATGCAATTTTGCATTTTTTTTTTCTGTCTTTAGACTATACATTTAGATAGCTTGAATTTCGTTAGTAGTATCTCGTTGCAATTTGGTTAGTTTGTAAAAGTAAGTAATCAATTATAGAAAGATTGGTTAATTACGAGCGCAATTAAAAGGCTTCTAAAGTTCTTTCTCTTCCTTTTCACCTTCATCTTCATTGCCATTATTCTTCTACCTGGTTGCCATCGGTCGCGTTGCAAACTTTTTGCGAATGATATCGTGAAACCTCCATTAAAGGGATATTGTTTCACTCGTGTACGTGTTGGTTAGGAATTATATTAATTTTTATTTTGTTAAGACAAACAATTTTTATTCAAATACAATTTTATATTAAGAGAGATATTATTATATTAAACAAAAAAGGAAATTATTTAAACGATCTTTATACAATCTTATTTTAAATTAATATAAGATAAAAGATATATGAAATATCAAATGTACAATCAATTGCAACATATTTTAGAAAAGAAAAAACAATATAGATAAAACTTTTTATCTGAAAAAGGTAAACTATTAAAAAATGATATCAAAAAATCCAAAATGTTTTCTCCTTTAACCTTCATTCTTTTTCTCAACATATAGAAAAAAAAATACTATATATATTGATAGAAAGATGATTTTATTTCACAAGATCATCAAGACAAAATTCAAAATTAAATAAAAAATTTCAAAAAAGCGTGCAACACGAATATTTTTTTTTTTCCAAAATATCCGCAGATTTTTGGTCCCTGTCGTTGAATCACGTCGACACCATTCCAACGACAGACGTGCTCTTTTACGCAACGAAGCGACAGGATAATGGGTCAACTTGGAATTCACTGAACAACCTGAATGAAGCTTTAAACTTCGTTCAGTTTCCCCTCTCTCTCTTTCTCTCTGACGAGCTGTCATCCGCGAGAATCCAGATTATTTTCACAGTTCTCGTGGTTTCCGACTGTATCCACATCGCTTGGTCAAGTGTTCACTTCGAAAAAAATCACAATGGTAGAACAGAAACGATTCCAGGAACTTTGCTCCCTTTGTTTTTATAGATTTTCGAACAATACATATGCTTTTGTAAAAAAGGTAGAAAAATACTATGTAGATAACACTCTTTAACTTA